CCATAAGCAGCACAACCGTTGATTTGCTTTGTTGTCCTTGCCCAGCATTGATCGCCAGACAGTCTGTTGGACCTAGGAATATAAGCATTTCGCTACACCCGCAAAAACATCTGCTAAATATGTACAGTACCAGTCAAAAGTTTGTACACACCTACTCAATCAAGGGTTTTTCTTTATTTTTACTGTTTTCTAGAATAATAGTGAAGACATCAAAACTATAAAATAACACACATGGAATCATGTAGTAACCAAAAAAGTGTTAAACATATCAAATATGTTCATCTTGATGGTTGTAAAGTCGTCTCAAATAAAACTGTGAAGGACCTAGGCGTTACTCTTGACCCTGATCTCTCTTTTGACGAACATATCAAGACTGTTTCAAGGACAGCTTTTTTCCATCTACGTAACATTGCAAAAATCAGAAATTTTCTGTCCAAAAATGATGCAGAAAAATTAATCCATGCATTTGTTACTTCTAGGTTAGACTACTGCAATGCTCTATTTTCCGGCTACCCGGATAAAGCACTAAATAAACTTCAGTTAGTGCTAAATACGGCTGCTAGAATCCTGACTAGAACCAAGAAATTTGATCATATTACTCCAGTGCTAGCTTCCCTACACTGGCTTCCTGTTAAGGCAAGGGCTGATTTCAAGGTTTTACTGTTAACCTATAAAGCGTTACATGGGCTTGCTCCTACCTATCTTTCCGAGTTGGTCCTGCCGTACATACCAATACGTACGCTACGGTCACAAGACGCAGGCCTCCTAATTGTCCCTAGAATTTCTAAGCAAACAGCGGGAGGCAGGGCTTTCTCCTATAGATCTCCATTTTTATGGAACAGTCTGCCTACCCATGTGAGAGACGCAGACTCGGTCTCAACCTTTAAGTCTTTACTGAAGACTTATCTCTTCAGTAGGTCATATGATTGAGTGTAGTCTGGCCCAGGAGTGTGAAGGTGAACGGAAAGGCTGGAGCAACGAACAGCCCTTGCTGTCTCTGCCAGGCCGGTTCCCCTCTCCACTGGGGTTCTCTGCCTCTAACCCTGTTGCAGGGGCTGAGTCACTGGCTTGCTGGTGCTCTTTCATGCCGTCCCTGGGAGGGGTGCGTCACTTGAGTGGGTTGAGTTACTGACGTGATCTTCCTGTCTGGGTTGGCGCCCCCCCCCTTGGTTTGTGCTGTGGTGGAGACCTCTGTGGGCTATACTCGGCCTTGTCTCAGGATTGTAAGTTGGTGGTTGGGGATATCCCTCTAGTGGTGCGGGGGCTGTGCTTTGGCGGAGTGGGTGGGGTTATATCCTTCCTGTTTGGCCCTGTCCGGGGGTTTCTTCGGATGGGGCCACAGTGTCTCCGGACCGCTCCTGTCTCAGCCTCCAGTATTTATGCTGCAGTAGTTTATGTGTCGGGGGGCTGGGGTTAGTTGGTTATACCTGGAGTACTTCTCCTGTCTTATCCAGTGTCCTGTGTGAATTTAAGTATGCTCTCTCTAATTCTCTCGTTCTCTCTTTCTCTCTGAGAACCTGAGCCCTAGGACCATACGTCAGGACTACCGGGCATGATGACACCTTGCTGTCCCCAGTCCGCCTGGCCTTGCTGCTATTCCAGTTTCAACTGTTCTGCCTGCGGCTACGAAACCCCTACCTGTCCCAGACCTGCTGTTTTCAACTCTTAATGATCGGCTATGAAAAGCCAACTGAGAGACCTGAGCCCTAGGACCATACGTTGGGACTACCGGCCGTGGTGACTCCTTGCTGTCCCCAGTCCGCCTGGCCTTGCTGCTATTCCAGTTTAAACTGTTCTGCCTGCGGTTATGGAACCCCTACCTGTCCCAGACCTGCTGTTTTCAAACTCTTAATGATCGGCTATGAAAAGCCAACTGAGATTTATTCCTGATTATTATTTGACCATGCTTGTCACTTATGAACATTTTTGAACATCTTGGCATGGTTCTGTTATAATCTCCACCCGGCACAGCCAGAAGAGGACTGGCCACCCCTCATAGCCTGGTTCCTCTCTAGGTTTCTTCCTAGGTTTTCGCCTTTCTAGGGAGTTTTTCCTAGCCACCGTGCTTCTACACCTGCATTACTAGCTGTTTGGGGTTTTAGGCTGGGTTTCTGTACAGCACTTCGATATATTAGCTGATGTAAGAAGGGCTATATAAAATAAAATTGATTGAAAATTGATTGAAATATATATTCAAATAGCCACCCTTTGCCTTGATTACAGCTAGGCACACACTTGGCATTCTCTCAACCAGCTTCACCTGGAATGCTATTCCAATAGTCTTGAAGGAGTTCCCACATATGCTGAGCACTTGTCGGCTGCGTTTCCTTCACTCTGCCGTCCGACTCATTCCAAACCATCTCAATTGGGTTGAGGTCGGGGGATTGTGGAGGCCAGGTCATCTGATGCAGCACTCCATCACACTCTTGGTAAAATAGCCCTTACACAGCCTGGAGGTGTGTTGGGTCATTGTCCTGTTGAAAAACAAATGATCGTCTCACTAAGCCCAACCAGATGGGATGTCGTATCGCTGCAGAATGCTGTGGTAGCCATGCTGGTTAAGTGTGCCTTGAATTCTAAATAAATCACAGACAGTGTCACCAGCAAAGCACCATAACACCGCATCCTCCATGCTTTACGGTGGGAACTACACATGCAGAGATAATCCGTTCACCCACACCGCGTCTCACAAAGACACGGCGGTTGGAACCAAAAATCTCCAATTTGGACTCTAGACCAAAGGACACATTTCCACCGGTCGAATTGGCTGTTCTTGCCATAATATGGACTTGGTCTTTTACCAAAAACACATTAAGAAGGAAAGAAATTCCACAAATTAACTTTGAACAAGGCACACCTGTTAATTGAAATGCATTCCGGGTGACTACCTCATGAAGCTGGTTGAGAGAATGCCAGGAGTGTGCAAAGCTGTCATCAAGGCAAAGGGTGGCTATTTTGAAGAATCCCAAATGTAAAATATTTAGGTTACTACATGATTCCGTATGTTATTTCATAGTTTTGATGTCTTCACTATTATTCTACGATGTAAAAATAAAGAACACCCATTGAATTAGTAGGTGTGTCCAAACTTTTGGCTGGTAGTGTATATGCAACCAATAAAATGTGATTTGAGTCTGGCAAGTCTGCCACGGTGCTGTTCATTGTTAATGGCATCGGATCGCTTCCTGCCGTCCTGAGTCTAGTCTACACAGCGTGAACCTGGCTAGTGAGTCTGTCTTTTTGCTAGCTTCTTAGCAAGATTTGGGGTCAATAGCACTTGAACTCTGTCAATTAAGAAATTCATTCCTTAATTGACAAAATTGAAATGAAATTGACTCCAACTCAGTCCATTCGACTAGTAACCTTTACCCTAGAATAACGTTTTACCTCTGCTTAGTCTGTAGACAAGCTGTAGCTTAAACAATGGCATTCCTTTATAAATTTGCTACCCTCTGAAAAAAGCGTATTCGTCTTGGTCGATACCATGGTCATTCCCACTTTGTTTGCGTCTGGCTATGTATGCAAGTGATTTTGTGAGTTTGAGAGGGGGTGTGCGACTGTGCGTGTATGTGTGCTCGCATGATTGAGAGTGTGAGAGGCTGGTGTCTGAAGCTCTCTTCTACTCATCACTTCAGCAGCAGAAGTGGGTCTTATGGCAGGTACGTCCTACCTCACCCACAACAATCCCTTATACCCCCCATCTGTGCAGCACATCACCACACACTGTCGCTCCTCTTGTTGTATGCCACTTTTTTGTTTTGTTTCTTTCGTATGTCTCAATCTGCGAACACCAGGCAGGAAATGGAAGCATGGCCAAAGATATTGTGTTTTTGCATGCATTGTTTTCATTCATCTTTTGCTGCTGCGGTAGAGCTATGGTCTGTATTTTATCGTAGTGATGGGGGTTTTGTACAGTAATCGTGTCGTCTCTGCTAAGTGGTTGATAAACTTAATGATGTGGTTGTGGCTCATGCTTCAGTGATGTTGCCTACACCGATTATGAAGCTCATATCAATGCCGTGGTTTATACATTGTATGTAAACATTGTTTGGTGTTGTGATCTGATAACCAGATAATAACTGTACAAGAAGAATGACATGGGGCTTTTCACTGAAAATAGTCTAACCATGTGGCTCAACCAGAATAACTGTATGCCTATGTCAATAAAAAGGCCCCCATGCCACAGAATTATGTAGCTCTGAAATATTTGCATAGGAGTAAGAAATATAGAGAAAATTAAACTCAGCTGGAAAAGAAGGATCCTTTCAGCGATACAGGTGTGTAGTGTAAGGGGTAGAGGTTGATCTCGAGCGCCGCAGAATTCAGTGATGGCTTCAGGAGGTCTGCAGATCAATATTATCATGCCTCTTGGTCGACTTGTATAGGACTACATCCTCGTGACGTTCTCTGTTAGTGTATTATCTTTCTTTCATATAGCCAGGTTAGGTGAGGACGTTTGGTGTCTACTTTAATGCAGTGAATATATTCCTTGAGGATGTGGGCTTCAAAAGCTGCGTTTACATAGGCAGCCCAATTCTGATCTTTTTTTAAAGCAATGTACTGTGTCTATGCTAGTAGATACCCGTAGACTTCCAGTCGTTGTTTGACTTGCAAACTACCTCGAACTTCCTTCATACTGGACACAGAAACATAAAAATGATATCCACTAGTTCATATGACTATGGGGAAGTAGACAAAAGGCCTCATTTGCCAAAATCCCGAAGTATCCCTTTAAGCTCTTTCCAGTAGCAAAGCTCTTTCCAGTAGCATAGCTACTTAGTGTAGTGACACTAAGTAGTAATGTTTGAGCAGATGCAAGAGGTGGTTGAGTCAGTAGACTATGGTAGTCTGTTTTGAGTGAAAGTCTGACTGGACTGAGTAACGTTCTTTGACTCAGTTTGATGGAAAGCTGATCAGGGTGAGTTTGGTATATGGGTAGAATGGTGATGTTAAAAATGAAGCCAGTATGCCTAATCTTCGCGCTTGTTTTTTTAAAAGGCATGTCTGAGTCGGAGCAGTCTTTGAAGGGCACTTCACAGATCAAGATCCTTCCTGCCGAAGACATCGAAGGCATGAGAGTTGTGTGTAAGGTAAATTATTCAATTGTTTTTTAACCTTTTGCTGGTGCAGTTAATAACATACACAAAAACAGTTTTAAAAACAGTGGTTTTGAAATGGAAAGACTTTTGTATTTTTGTAGCTGGCCCGAGAGGTGCTTGACATCGCCGCCCTGATGGTGAAACCTGGCATGACCACGGAGGAGATTGACCACACTGTGCACCTGGTAAAGACTCTAGCCTCCTTTTCCCTCTACTTCCCATCCACTCTTTTCTCCTCTCTCCCTCGTCTTGATCGTTGATGTGCAAGTACTTCCTCCCTCCAGGCCTGCACAGCCAGAAACTGTTACCCCTCCCCTCTCAACTACTACAACTTTCCCAAGTCTTGCTGCACGTCAGTCAACGAGGTCATCTGCCACGGCATCCCAGACAGGAGACCTCTGGTGGATGGGGATATCCTCAACGGTAGGTTTCCCAAGGGGAATCTCAATAGCATAAAGTGGCTTCCTCGCCTCAACTCAGTCCCTTCATCTTTATTTACTTGGCATCCTCCATATTCTTTCACCTAATGTGTGTTTTCAGATCATTGAGTATGATGGGGTTTAAATAGGTGAGAGAGCCACTAGACTATTGAGATGCACATAGAGAATGTGCTAGTTCCCATTAGACTGCCAAAGATCTCTTGCTCACATCATGGTTTGACAAGAGAAATGGTTTTATTAGTATTCAGCAAGAGTCTATAGGACTTCCACCAAAATGTAGCCTGTGTCCTATATATTTCTGCTAACGAGACTATTCTCAAGAGCAAGATCCCATGAGACACTGCCAAAAACCTCTGACTTACAGCATGGTTTGACAAGACAAATGGTCTCATGAGCATTCAGCTTTGCCATTTTGCCCACTATCATGTACAGTGCATATTTTAAGTATTTATCCCTCTTTTACTTTTTCACATTTTGTTGTGTTACAAAGTGTGACTGAAATGTATCTACACAAATATCCAGAAATGTCAAAGTGAAAATAAAATTATGAATGTTAACAAATAATAAACAACTCCAATATCTTGGTTGTATAAGTATTCACCCCCTTTGTTATGGCAAGCCTAAATTAGTTAAGGAGTAAGAAGAAGTTGGACTCACTCTGTGTGAAAAAATAGGTGTTAACATGATTTTTTAATGACTACCTCTTCCCCTGTACCCCATTTTATACAACATCTGTAAGGTCCCTAAGTCGAGTTCTGAATTTCCAGCACAGATTCAATCTATAAAACCAGGGAGCTTTTCCAGTGCCTCATAAAGAAGGGCACATATTGGTAGGTGGGTAAAACATGAAAAGCAGACACTGAATATCCCGTTAAGCATGGTCAAGTTAGCACTTAAGCTCTGGATGGTGTATGAAACGACCCAGACACTACAAAGATAGTCGTCCTTCCTAACCCGACCCAAGCCCGGCGGGCCCCGACATTATACATGGGCCCTGTTTTTTCATCAATAACTAGTGTACAGGCAGGGCTCTGGTATCACTAAATTGATCACTAACATTTTGACGCTGAGCCATTTGCTCGTGCTCTGCTGCGCAGTACAGTCAATCTGACAAAGATCATAACATAGTGTCAGAAGTGCTGCAACCTCGTCAGATATAAAACAGGAAAGATTATTTCACTGAAAATAAATGTTCCTTGAGTTTTGTCAGAGTTTAGTGATGAAAAGTAGCTAACCGCTAACTGCTCATCTCTTCATTGAGCAGAGCAGCCCAAGCGGAGCTGTTGCTGTGGTTACTCACAGACACAGACAGCTCTTACCAAGCTGCTTCCCTATTGTCCTGTAGCCCATCCCAGCCTTGTGCAGGTCTACAATTTTATCCCTGATGTCCTTACACAGCTCTCTGGTCTTGGCCATTGTGGAGAGGTTGGAGTCTGTTTGAGTGTGTAGACAGGTGTCTTTTATACAGGTAACGAGTTCAAACAGGTGCAGTTAATACAGGTAATGAGTGGAGAACAGGAGGGCTTCTTAAAGAAAAATTAACAGGTCTGTGAGAGACTGAATTCTTACTGGTTGGTAGATGATCAAATACTTATGTCATGCAATAAAATGCAAATTAATTACTTAAAAATCATACAATGTGATTTTCTGGATTTTTGTTTTAGATTCCGTCTCTCACAGTTGAAGTGTACCTATGCTAAAAATTACAGACCTCTACATGCTTTGTAAGTAGGAAAACCTGCAAAATCGGCAGTGTATCAAATACTTGTTCTCCCCACTGTATATGATAAAATAATGGTTTATTTTTCTTTCTTTATTTTGCATTTTGCCCCATTACAACATATTTTGTGTACATCAGTGACAAAAAATCTCAATAAAATAAATTTTAATCCCACTTTGTAACACAATAAAATGTGAAGTCCAAGGGGAGTGGATACTTATTATTGGCACTGTATATATTTCTGCTAATGTTCAGCATCTTCCCTCCCCCTCCTGTTCAGTGGATATTACTGTGTACCACAATGGATTCCACGGAGATCTCAACGAGACCTTCTTTGTTGGAGAGGCGGATGAAGGGGCGAAAAAGCTGGTCCAGACCACCTTCGAATGCCTTATGCAAGCCATTGACTCCGGTAGGATCTCTTACCTGATGCCAGATAAAGATATACAAATAAAATGTGTTCACTATCTCAATGGTTTTTTTCCTCTCCCTTCTCTAGTAAAGCCTGGTATCCGCTACAGGGAGCTTGGTAACATCATCCAGAAACATGCCCAGGCTAACGGCTTCTCTGTGGTGCGGAGCTACTGTGGCCATGGCATCCACAAACTGTTCCACACTGCCCCAAACGTGCCCCACTATGCCAGTGGGTACATCTCCGTCTCCTTCCACCAATAAGCTTGTGAAATTGACATTCCCTTCTTAGATAACATAGTAGCCTACTTGATTAATCCTCAAAGGACTTTGGGGGAAGATGTATAAATCGGTGGGTTTCCTCTTTCTTCTGCAGAAAACAAAGCGGTCGGAGTGATGAAGCCTGGCCATGTATTCACCATCGAGCCCATGATCTGTGAAGGTAAGGACCCTCAGAGACATGACCGCAGATTTGGGGTGTCATTTTGTGTATGTTTGTGTGTGTGCTTACGGTATGTGTGTAATGGTTGGTAATTGTATACCTACAGTGCATTCGGAAAGTATTCAGACCCCTTGACTTTTTCTTCGTTTTGTTACATTACAGCCTTATTCTAAAATTGATTAAATAATTTTTTCCCCTTATCAATCTACATGCAATACCTCGTAATGACAAAGCAAAAACAGATTTTTAGAAAACTTTGCACATTTATGAAAAAATCAATCAATGAATGGAAATATCACATTTGCATAAGTATTCAGACCCTTTACTCAGTACTTTGTTGAAGCACATTTGGCATCAATTACCGCCTCGAGTATTCTTGGGTATGACGCTACAAGCTTGGCACACCTGTATTTGGGGAGTTTCTCCCATTCTTCTCTGCAGATCCTCTCATGCTCTGTCAGGTTGGATGGGAAGCGTCGCTGCACAGCTATTTTAAGGTCTCTCCAGAGATGTTCAATTGGGTTGAAGTCCGGGCTCTGGCTGGGCCACTCAAGGACATTGAGACTTGTCCTGAAGCCACTCCTTCATTGTCTTGGCTGTGTGCTTAGGGTCGTTGTCCTGTTGGAAGGTGAACCTTCACCCCAGTCTGAGGTCCTGAGCGCTCTGGAGCAGGTTTTCATCAAGGATCTCTATGTACAGTGGGGGAAAAAAGTATTTAGTCAGCCACCAATTGTGCAAGTTCTCCCACTTAAAAAGATGAGAGAGGCCTGTAATTTTCATCATAGGTACACGTCAACTATGACAGACAAAATGAGGAAAATAAATCCAGAAAATCACATTGTAGGATTTTTAATTAATTTATTTGCAAATTATGGTGGAAAATAAGTATTTGGTCAATAACAAAAGTTTCTCAATACTTTGTTATATACCCTTTGTTGGCAATGACACAGGTCAAACGTTTTCTGTAAGTCTTCACAAGGTTTTCACACACTGTTGCTGGTATTTTGGCCCATTCCTCCATGCAGATCTCCTCTAGAGCAGTGATGTTTTGGGGCTGTCGCTGGGCAACACGGACTTTCAACTCCTTCCAAAGATTTTCTATGGGGTTGAGATCTCGAGACTGGCTCGGCCACTCCAGGACCTTGAAATGCTTCTTACGAAGCCACTCCTTCGTTGCCCGGGCGGTGTGTTTGGGATCATTGTCATGCTGAAAGACCCAGCCACGTTTCATCTTCAATGCCCTTGCTGATGGAAGGAGGTTTTCACTCAAAATCTCACGATACACGGCCCCATTCATTCTTTCCTTAACACGGATCAGTCGTCCTGGTCCCTTTGCAGAAAAACAGCCCCAAAGCATGATGTTTCCACCCCCATGCTTCACAGTAGGTATGGTGTTCTTTGGATGCAACTCAGCATTCTTTGTCCTCTAAACATGACGAGTTGAGTTTTTACCAAAAAGTTCTATTTTGGTTTCATCTGACCATATGACATTCTCCCAATCCTCTTCTGGATCATCCAAATGCACTCTATCAAACTTCAGACGGGCTTGGACATGTACTGGCTTAAGCAGGATTTGAGTCCCTGGTGGCGTAGTGTGTTACTGATGGTAGGCTTTGTTACTTTGGTCCCAGCTCTCTGCGGGTCATTCACTAGGTCCCCCCATGTGGTTCTGGGATTTTTGCTCACCGTTCTTGTGATCATTTTGACCCTATGGGGTGAGATCTTGCATGGAGCCCCAGATGGAGGGAGATTATCAGTGGTCTTGTATGTCTTCCATTTCCTAATAATTGCTCCCACAGTTGATTTCTTCAAACCAAGCTGCTTACCTATTGCAGATTCAGTCTTCCCAGCCTGGTGCAGGTCTACAATTTTGTTTCTGGTGTCCTTTGACAGGTCTTTGGTCTTGGCCATAGTGGAGTTTGGAGTGTGACTGTTTGAGGTTGTGGACAGGTGTCTTTTATACTGATAGCAAGTTCAAACAGGTGCCATTAATACAGGTAACGAGTGGAGGACAGAGGAGCCTCTTAAAGAAGAAGTTACAGGTCTGTGAGAGCCAAAAATCTTGCTTGTTTGTAGGTGACCAAATACTTATTTTCCACCATAATTTGCAAATAAATTCATTAAAAATCCTACAATGTGATTTTCTGGAAAAAAAATTCTCAATTTGTCTGTCATAGTTGACGTGTACCTATGATGAAAATTACAGGCCTCTCATCTTTGCCTCGATCCTGACTAGTCTCCCCAGCCGTTCCACTGAAAAACATTCCCACAGCATGATGCTGCCACCACCATGCTTCACCGTAGAGATGGTGCCAGGTTTCCTCCAGACATGACGCCAGAGAATCTTGTTTCTCATGGTCTGAGAGTCCTTTAGGTGCCTTTTGGCAAACTCCAACTGGGCTATCTTGTGCCTTTTACTGAGGAGTGGCTTCCTTCTGCCCACTCTACCATAAAGGCCTGATTGGTGGAGTGCTGCAGAGATGGTTGTCCTTCTGGAAGGTTCTCCCATCTCCACAGAGGAACTCTGGAGCTCTGTCAGAGTGACCATCGGGTTCTTGGTCACCTCCCTGATCAAGGCCCTTCTCCCCCGATTGCTCAGTTTGGAAGAGTCTTGGTGGTTTTGGTGGTTTCCAAACTTCTTCCATTTAAGAATGATGGAGGCCACTGTGTTCTTGAACCTTCAATGCTGCAGAAATGTTTTGGTACCCTTCCCCAGATCTGTGCCTCGATACAATCCTGTCTCGGAGCTCTACGGACAATTCCTTTGACCTCATGGCTTGATTTTATGCTCTGACATGCATTGTCAACTGTGGGACGTTATATAGACAGGTGAGTGCCTTTCCAAATCAAGTCCAATCAATTGAATTTACCACAGGTGGACTCCAATGAAGTTGTAGAAACATCTCAAGGATGATCAATGGAAACAGGATGCTCCTGAGCTCAATTTTGAGTCTCATAGGAAAGGGTCTGAATACTTATGTAAATAAGGGATTTCTGTTTTTTATTTTAAATACATTTGCAAAAATGTCTAAAAACCTGTTCACGTTGTCAATATGAGGTATTGTGTGTAGATTGACGAAAAACATTTAATCAATTTTAGAATAAGGCTATAATTTAACAAAATGTGGAAAAGGGGAAGGGGTCTGAATACTTCCCGAATGTACAGTGTGTAAAACTGTACCTGTGTGTTTTAAAACTGTACTTGTGTGTTTTAAAACTGTACTTGTGTGCTTAATACTGGATACCTGTGTGTGTTCTGCGTAGGTGGTTGGCAGGACGAGACGTGGCCTGACGGCTGGACAGCTGTGACTCGGGACGGGAAGCGTTCAGCCCAGTTTGAGCACACTCTGCTTGTGACGGAGACGGGCTGTGACATTCTGACACGCCGGCTGGACGACAACGGACGTCCCCACTTCCTCAACCAAATCTAAATGGGGTGGGGGTACAGCAACGGACGGACTGTCTCATGGGCAGCTCTCTCTTTGGCCCCCCCTGTCGTATCACACATACCCACCTCTAACCTGAGCGCCCCCCCCCAAGGCCAGCCCGCCGCGACCCGGCTCTCACTGTTCCACGAATTTAGTGTAATTCTTCAAAATTTACGGAAAGTACTTGAATACATCTGATATCAGCTGTGGGGATTGTTTTATCGAGGCTGTTTTAGAAAATAAATTTCTCATCAGAAGATAAAAAGGAAAAATAAATAAGTATTTATGAAATGTGGCTTTGCGCAGTAGCAGGTTGAATTTTTACCTTGATTGTGAGCTTGGATTCTGTTGACGTATATGACTGCAGAGGTGTGGAAAGGGTCAAGCTTCAGTTTGACTATTTGACCTCTAGACATGTGCCACCTTACTGTGTTGCCTAATTGACAGCAAGGCAGCTGGGTCCTATTGACGGCCAGATGTGGCCAGGGAGGGGAGCTGTTGAGCTCAGTGTTCTGCTAAAGTGTGTAGTGCAGGTCTATTCAAACCTGGGCCCTGAGGTCTGCAGCACTGCTAGTTTTCTTTTCTCTCTTGTAGTGAGCTAGTTGATTTATGTTCATTGATTGACCAGAATCTCCTTGCCAGGCGTCCCAGGTCTGGTTTGATTGGGAATGAAAGTCTGCAGTGCTGCGGGTCCCAAGTTCTAGATTGGAATTGCCCTTGTGTAGCGCGCTGAGCCTTAATCTGTGTGAATTAAGAATAAGCATGCCGGATAATGTCCAGGCAGCATGTCTGTTATTCCTCAATCCAGTCGATCAATATTTATCTTGATATGCTGGCGATTTTACTGGTGTGAGCAACACTCTTGAGTCTCCATTTTAATCCAGTCTTTCCACAGTTTCTCTGCCAGCCTTTTATTATTTCTATGACGGGAGTAATAAACAGCTGTTCTGTAGTTGTGTGTGTGTGTGTGTGTGTGTGTGTGTGTGTATATGCTTTTGTGTTTGAGTGTGGTGAGGACTGTATAAATGCCAAAGGCTCTATTTCAGCAGAAGTCTGGGTTTACTACAGACCTGTGAATTAATACCCTGTTCCAGAGTACTGTATTATTAAAATAGTAATATCATAATCATTGAAGTATTGATTGTTTTGCATTAGCTGAAAGTTAAGCATTTCTTGTTTTGTACTTCCTATGATGTGCACATTATGGGAATCTGACTCTGCAAATGACATGAAACTCGTTCGCTAGACGCTTCCTCCCAATGCTATGCGCAATTAGCCTGGCGACGAGGTTCAAATGATTTTGACCAGTAAGACAATCCTTTGAGAATCCTTGAATTTAATGTATTAAATTGAAATGGAGAAATAAGGAGTGATGTTATGGTTTTCAGAGCCGCCTCTTGACAACACGAATACTGCAAGACCGAGAAAACGATGAAAATGATATACATTTAGTAAACGCAAAATGGAAAGCAGGCTTTGATGTGATTTTTGTGCAATGCCTTACCATTTCCCAGCATGCATTATACTGAAGCCCTCTGATCTTTTCGAAGGGCAGCGTGTGGGTCACAAATTCATCCACCTTCAGCTTCTTGTTCATGTACTCACTGACCAGTTTAGGAACACCCTCCACACTTGTATATCCTGTGGAAAGAAAATGCAAAGCATGACCTCAGTTCAATCAAATGATAGACAACTGATTAATACATTATTGGATTATGTGGGGTGCCAACTACAAGAGCTTTTGGCTCTCACTAACACATTAGACCCATCCCAGTTCTTGGCCAAGTGCGTCCTGTTACCAGTTGGAATGGGGGAGTGGAGATCTTTTGCCCGCCTGCTGCCACCCCAATGGTGACACTGGTGCCCCAGTCCTTATGACAGGCCTTCAGGGCCGCCCTCTGGAACACAGTTACTTACACAACCGTAACCTTGCTATGGTGCCACTATGACCATTAGGTGTAACAGATAACATTTGTTAAAATTGAGATTTCAACACTTCGCTTTAGGTGACAATCTTAAAATATAATTTAGAAAAGCACTGTGCACTCTACTTTCTCCACATTGTCAGCAAAATGGTAATTCTCCAAACACTCGGGTGGTCAGTAAAGGTAGAATCCACTTCCTCACCATGATCCCCACGTTGCCCATACACGCGAAGGAATAATCCAAACTCCTTGGTCACCTTAAACTGGGTTGACGTCAATCCCAATGATCCTGGTCGTCCCTGCTGCTTTGCATCCGTTGATGACAGCCAGGCCCAACGCTCCAAGGCCAAACACTGCACAGGTCGAGCCCGTCTCCACCTGTAAGTACATCGTTGGGCATGGAAATTACCAAAAGAGGTAATTTGTGAGGTGAGAGTTTGGTCCTGCTATACTCTGTTGAATCAAGTGTGTTAGTTCATCCACCTCTGGCCTGCTAGCCCCCTTACCTCTACGTAAGCACAGTTCCCGCTCAGCCCAGTCAAAGCTATTCGCTGCTCTGGCACCCCAATGGTGGAACAAGCTCCCCCACGACGCCAGGACAGCGGATTCACTGACCACCTTCCAGAGACACTTGAAACCCTACCTCTTTAAGGAATACCTGGAATAGTATAACAGTAATCCTTCTACCCCCACCCCCCATAAAAAAAAAAGGGAGTGGTTGTCCCACTGGCTATCCTAAGTTGAATGCACCAATTTGTAAGTCGCTCTGAATAAGAGCATCTGCTAAATTACTTAAATGTAAATGGTAGTGAGGACATATTCTGCTTTTACAAAATGTCATGTGGTTTTCAAATGAAACAAAACACCTTGCTCTTGTTAAAGCTTTTAGAAATTGTTTTCCCCCCAGGAGAGACACTATCATCAGGAACTCCATTGACTGACCTTAGCTGTGTTAATTGATGCCCAGTAGCCTGTGGAAATCCCACAGCCCTGCCTTCTTGTCCACCTTGGCCAACGAGATGTCTGCCACCACCGTGTACTCAGAGAAGTGGGCCAGACTTATCCCCTTACAGGAGAATTGGGAGGTTCCATCTGGCATCTGCCCCCTGCCCTGTGTCCCCCTGGGGTAAGTAGAAACATGGCTTTGGAAATTGCAGGATGTGAAGGGTAGAGGGTAGTCACTAGTTACCACAGCCACAAAGTCATAATAATATAATATGCCATTTAGCAGACGCTTTTATCCAAAGCGACTTACAGTCATGCGTGCATACATTTTTTTGTTTTTGTGTATGGGTGGTCCCGGGGATCGAACCCACTACCTTTGCGTTTCAAGCGCCGTGCTCTACCAGCTGAGCTACAGAGGACCACATGACTGAATCCAGACAATTTATACTATTTATCTTCAAAAAATCTGATTTTAAACCTAACTGTAACCACACTGCTAGCCTTATGCCTAACCTTTAAAAAAGCTCATTTTTGTATTCATTAATTTTTAAGATATAGCTGTTTTGACTTTGTGGCTGTGGTAACTAGTGACAACCAGCTGTATTGGCTAGGGGTTGTTTCTGACTTTGTGGCTGTGGTAACTAGTGACAACCAGCTGTATTGGCTAGGGGTTGTTTCTGACCTTGTGGCTGTGGTAACTAGTGACAACCAGATGTAGTGGCTAGGGGTTGTTTCTGACTTTGTGGCTGTGGTAACTAGTGACAACCAGATGTAGTGGCTAGGGGTTGTTTCTGACTTTGTGGCTGTGGTAACTAGTGACAACCAGATGTAGTGGCTAGGGGTTGTTTCTGACTTTGTGGCTGTGGTAACTAGTGACAAACAGATGTAGTGGCTAGGGGTTGTTTCTGACTTTGTGGCTGATCTTTTGACCAGGTTAGTTTTGGGATTTTTACAGAACTTGCACTCTCCACACTGAGGGATGTACAGGAGGATCACAGTATCCCCTAAAAACACACACAATAAGTAATGATTGAAATCTCTTGGAACGTGAGCAATAGGAGGTAACGATGTCTTTCTGTTTAGTTATTCTCTGTCTCACTCAGTATGACCAGAGATCTGTATATAATGACGAGATGCTCACGTCTGTATGGCATATCCCAGAGGCAACAATTTGCAACACATTCAGTGTTTTTTAATTCAGCCAATTTAGGAGATGATTCAACTGTACCATTGTCCACTTAGGTAATTACAATAACTGCAGTGTTTTCCCTCAAGGGCAATCATGAAACCACCTTCAATGTGAACGATGTTAGTAATTTAAGGGTAACTGGACTCTTGCCCTTTGATTTTTGGACTGTAAGGAACACTGCAACACGGCAAGCTAAATCAATCGAATCAAAAGTAATCGAAAGAAAGCAGTTAATAATACAAAGTGCTATTGTGACCCAGGTCTAAGGTACACCAGTGGTTCCATGCTAGTACATGACCTTGTGACCTTTATCTTGTGCACTTCCTCCATGGAGAGGGGCTTCCCAGCCTCCCATGCGACTGCGGCCCGGCATCGGATCACATCAGTTCACTGTCACATGGCCAGACAAGATGCATCTCCTTACTCATTTCAATCAACACATTTGATAGAAAGAAACACACATTTGACAAATCAAACCTTGTTCACTTCATTTAAACGTGGCCACCAATTTCATGCCAAGGAATCATGTTTGGCTTAGCACTCAAAGATTTCCCCCCAAACCCATACAGTATATCCAATTTATAAACAGCAGTTTTTCCTTTGCCACGGATTGTGTGGAAATAATTGCAACAGTGGACTGTCTCCTCTCCCAAAACTACAGATTGCACAAAACTACAGATTGCTCAAGCCCTGGATTTATGCCTTTTCACTTGAAAAACAATAATCATACTCTGTATAGTTTAGCAATATTCTACATGAACTTTGATACATTGGGATATCACACATGGCCTCATAGTACAGTTTTTTGGGGGAAGACACGGCTGCTGAGTGAGAATACAGCACACAAAATGGCACACCCTCTTATAAACACTGGCTGAGCCGGAGAGCCTAAAGATCTGTCTTTCTGCTTGTGTCTGACTACGCTAGTGGAGGCTGCTGAGGGGAGGACAGCTCATAATAATGGCTGGCATGGAGTGAATGGAATGGTATGAAACAGATGAAAACCATGTATTTGATACCATTCCATTCACTCCATTCCAGCCATTATTATGAGCCGTCCTCCCCTCAGCAGCCTCCGCTGGACTACACAGATAGTTTTGTTGACATATGACAAAAATATGGAACAATTAAAATGCCTTCAGAAAGTATTCAAACCCATTGACTTTTTCCACATTTTGTTGTTACAGCCTGAATTTAAAATGGATTAAATTGAGTTTTTGTCACTGACCTGCACACAATACCACAATGTCAAAGTGGAATTATGTTTTCCTTTTTTTTTTTTTTTTTTTAAATAAAAAATGTAAAGCTAAAATCTCTCGTCAATAAGTATTTAACCCCAATTTGCTTAACAAGTCACATAATAAGGTGCATTGACTCTGTGTGCAATAATAGTGTTTAACATGATTTTTGAATGTCTACCTCATTTCTGTGCCCACACATACAGTACAATTATCTGGAAGGTCCCTAGGTTGAGCAGTACATTTCAAACACAGATTCAACCACAAAGACCAGGGAGATTTTCCAATGCCTCGCAAAGAAGGGCACCTATTAGTAGATGAGTAAAATAATAAAGAAGAAGACATTGAATATCCCTTCTTTGGATGGTGTATCAATACACCTAGTCACTACAAAGATACAGGCATCCTTCCTAATTCAGTTGCAGGAGAAGAAGGAAACCGCTCAGAGATTTCACCATGAGGCCAATGGTGACTTTAAAACAGTTAGAGTTTAATGGCTGTGATAGGAGAAAACTAAGGATGGATCAACAACATTGTAGTTACTCCACAATCCTAACCTAATCGACAGAGTGAAAAGAAAGAAGCCTGAACATAATAACAAATATTCCAAAACATGCATCCTGTTTGCAACAAGGCACTAAAGAAATATTGCAGAAAATGTGGCAAATGAACTGTTTGTCCTCAATACAAAGTATTATGTCTGGGGCAAATCCAATACAACACATTACTGAGTACCACTCTTAATATTTTCAAGCATAGTGGTGGCTGCATCATGTTATGGGTATGCTTTGGACTGGGTTTTTTTTCCAGGAAAAATAAGAAACGGAATGGAGCTAAGCACAGGCTAAATCTTAGAGGAAAACCTGTTTGTCTGCTTTCCACCAGACACTGGGAGATGAATTCACCTTCAGCAGGACGATAACCTAAAACACAAGGCCAAATCTACACTGGAGTTGCTTACCAAGAAGACAGTGAATGTTCCTGAGTGGCCAAGTTACAGTTTTTACTTAAATCTACTTGGAAATCTATGGCAAGACCTGTAAATGGTTGTATAGCGATGATCAACAACCAATTTGACAGAGTTTGAAGAATTTTGAAAAGAATAATGGGCAAATGTTGCACAATTCAGGTGTGGAATGCTCTTAGAGATTTACCCAGAAACACACAGCTGTAATCGCTGCCAATGGTGATTCTAACATGTATTGACTCTGGGGGTTGAATACTTACCTAATCAAGATATATTAGTGTTTAATTATTTAATTAAAACATTTGCATTTTTCTTCCACTTTGACATTATTTTGTGTTCATCGCTGACAAAAAAAAGACAAATCAATTTTAATCCCACTTTGCAACACAACAAAATGTGGAAAAAGTCTAAGGGTGTGAATACTTTCTGTAGGCAATTTACGTGAGGGTATAATATACACACTAACCTTTCCTGCAGTTGCCATTTTCCCTCTCATTGAGGCAAAAAGGTTAGGGCAAAGTAGAGGTCTTATCAGCCACAATGGGACCAATCAGAATGCAGCTACCAAGCAGTCATGCTCACCATGTCCCAATTCTCTACAGTGGTGCTGGTGCCTGAGTGCCTCCCTCAACTCCTTTCTTTTAGGTTACTGATAAAACAGTTCTGAATGGGTGAAAACAATACAGTGGATGGATACCTATGCTAACCTGGGCTCATTGCTCTCACATTACCTAATAGTTTATTACAAAGTTAAGGACACAGGGGAAGGAAACCGTGTAAGACTATCGGGACGCATACACTCAGACTCTTAAGTGGACCTCTTATCATTCTTGTTTTACAGGCGTGTCAAAGAGTCAAAAGGGCTGCTTTAGATTGTTGTATTAAAAAACCACAGACAAACACGATCCAAGTAGTCTTTATGTGCCAGACTCGCCACATAGCTGTTGAAAGATGTCTTCAGTGGCATGTATTCATGGAAGCCAAAGGAAGCCAGGCTTCCCCCAAAAAAATGGACCAAGAAAAAAACATATTTTATCTTTTGTCTTTGTTTCATAATTTTCCTTCTATTCGCAAGACGCTGAATGTATACTGAACACAAATATAAACGCAACATGTAAAGTGTTAGTCTTTATAAAAGATCCCCAAAATGTTCCATAGGCACAAAAAGCTTATCTCTCAAATGTTGTGAACAAATTTGTTTACATCCCTGTTAGTGAGCATTTTTCCTTTGCCAAGATAATCCATCCACCTGACAGGTGCGGCATATCAAGAAGCTTATTAAACAGCATGATCATTACACAGGTGCACCTTGTGCTGGGGACAATAAAAGACCACTCTAAAATGTGCCGTTTTATGTCACAATACCACAGATGTCTCAAGTTTTGAGGGAGCGCCACCTCCGGCTTCTTCACCTGCGGGATAGTCTAAGACCAGCCACCTGTACAGCTGCACCATGAATATCTACAATTTCAGTTACAATTTGGTGGTGTGTTTCCCAATCTGTTTCTTTGGGAAGATCCTAGCATTTGCTGCAAAAAGGCCTATTTTAACTGTGTGTGTGTGGGGGGGGTTCTTCTGTCCTTGTGGGGACCTGAAATCCCCAAAAGTACCCACAAGGATAGTAAAACAAGGAAACTTTCCCCTTGTGGGGACAGTTCCCACGTCCCCAAGAGGACAAAGGCTATTTTAAGTTTAGGGGTTAGGGTTACAATTAGGGTTAGGGTAAGGGGTTAGTGTTTAGGTTTATGGTTTGGGTTAGGGTTACGGCTTAAGGTTAGGGAAAATTGGATTTTGAGTGGAAATGTATTTTAGGTCCCCACGAGGTTAGAAGAACATGTGTGTGTGTAATGTCATCCCTTACCAGTTTGTTGGGAGGTCAGAGGCAGATGACAGACAGTTTGATTGAGACAGTCAAAACCAAGCAGCAGAAAGCAGCCAATCAGTTTGCAGAGTGGACGTCAGTAAATTGGCTGTGTAGAAGGATTCTACTCAAGAACTTGATGAATAGTTGATTAGTTGAATCAGGAACACATTTATGCCGGCTGGGGACCGGAATTGAAAACTGATGACTTCTTGTTGACCATCTCTTCTTTATTTCATGAAGCACTTAAAGGCCAGGCAATCAGGAGGAGGGCAAACAAGATTAGGTAATACTGATGTATCTGTTTATTATTCATTGACCTTAACTCTCTCTCTTTTAGATGGTTGCCGATGCCACTGAAGGCAAGGTCTATACTCAGAGTAGGGCCCCGGCTGCAGTACACCATGAAGTTCCACTCCAACCTGCACCAGGCCCTGGAGGGCCTCCAGCTGCAGCCGCCATCATCACCCTCCCCATCACTAGACCCCATGAGCTCTGGAGAGCTGGGACACTGTCCACCGGGAGATGGAGACCAACCAGGAGATGGGTGGAATTGTGGAGCGCATGAGGGAGAAGGTGCAGGAGGTCAGCGCCATACTGCACCTCAAGATAAGCTGGGGTGGATGAGCTGGGAAGGAGGAAGAAGAAGAAGAGGAGGAAGAAGACGATGATGATGAGAATGAGGGGAAGCCTCCAAAGCCTTAAACTAAAGTCAGGCAATGCACCCAGATTCACAACAGCTAGACCAGGCCCAAGGGAACCCAGACCTAGAAGCAGAGATGGGAGCCCAGGATGAGCACTCCTGCCTGGAGACTGTGCTGTGGAGGTGGCAGAGGACACTGGGGGGCCAGAGGGACGCGGTGAGGAGGCTGAAGGCTGACATTTTTACATTTTAGTCATTTAGCAGACGCTCTTATCCAGAGCGACTTACAGTTAGTGAGTGCATACATTGCCCTAGAAGAGCACCTGGAGATCTGGAGGCGGAGGCAGAGAGAGATAAAAATGAAATGCAGGTAAGATGGATGCTTGTTTACTTCAAGTGAGTCGTAACTGTCATGCTTCATTCACTTTTACTGTTCGTTTTTTAAAGAAAATAATATAGGGAAGCTACACATGTGGGCCTCCATTTTAGCCCTGAGCTACAAACCCAGTCTAATGTTCTGTTTCAGCTGTCTGAAAATGCAGCCCCAGTTTGACGTGGCTCGGAACCGCTCTGCCGAGTTCCTGAAGGAGAACAACAAGCTGAGCGGCCTGCTTCGCATGGTGGAGTCCTCGGTGGCCGACCTGCAGTCCCTGCTCACCTACCACCAGGTCCTTGTGGAGGACACCATGAAGGACAACTCCATACAACACAAGATGTAAAAAGAACTCTGAAGGACTAATAAAATGTTGATTGTGGATCCTTTTGTGTTTGCTTACTGTTTCTATTGGACTCAAACATTTTTATAATGTATGATCTAATTATAACTATTAGTCTTTCATATTTTCTGCCCTGCCCTTTATATGGCTATAAGTCAACATAACTTTATTGCCCTTTATCTTTACAATAAGAGCTACAATTATCTACTAGACTATACTGAGCACCTATGTTATCTGGGATTCAAAGTTCCCTTTATTTTAGAGGGAGTAACCGCATATATCGCAGATAGCTGCCGCTTCTCTGATGACCCTTTTATCAGAACAGTAGAGCATAAGCTCACAACAGTGACTTGAAGCACTAGAAATAGCTTGCATAACCAATAAAATAAGAATCCCAAACATTGACATTTCCATTTGCAATAAACTTTTAAACAAGCTCAAATTAATTGAGTTTATGTGCATGTGCATGCTGCAAACCGGTATAATACCTGAAAGTAGTTGTGACAATATGTAGCTGCACTTTGTAACGGCATGATACCTGCCTATGTAACTCCCATGTAATTACATAGGTATTACACTTATTGTGAAAGTGGTCAAATACTGCTGCTAAAATGGATATTCGACCTAATCACCTATCCACTAACCATGAGGTAAAGGAGAAAAGCAGAGGAAGCCATTCAACGTTATGTTCTTTATTCTGTAACACCCTAAGAGCAAACAGGGTCTGATTAGAAAGTGCTGTGACACAAATCCATATCAGAAAGTGCAGTGACACAGTTCATCCGCATAGACCGCTGACAAATATTTACAGAATATAGCTTTTTTTATCTGAGGGTGGGGTTTTCCCTATAAAATGACAGTGTTTCCCTGTACCCAACAGATTACCATTATTTGCAAAGGTTGGCGTACCTTGGGAGGACGAGAGCGGTGAATGTGCCTTAGTCCAAATTCCAGTGTGGCAGCCTGGTAGCCTAATCGTAAGTATGTCGTTGACAAAAGTGTGCCCTTCAGCCATGATCCGCTCTCCTTCTCCCTGTGGCACACCTCCCTCAACAACGGACGGAAATGCTTGTTTTGTTTTTGCTCTCTGTGTTTTGCAGTATCCGGTAAGTCCTGAGTGTGACACCGCAGTAAGAGGGTCAATGCAACCCATCCAATTGCACATATTTTTTTGCTGGTCAGCTGAATAAACAGCACAACTATACAATATGGTTTGATAAACCAATCATTCACTATATCACAATAGTTATTAGTAGGGGTGAATACTCAATGGTATTCAGCATACAGTAGGCTTAATGATAGTAACCGTTGTAACAACAATGATAATCATAAAGTTTTTATTTTGTTTGGTATCAAGGCCTTTTCAATACCCTTTATCAGTGTAATGTCTGTGCTCAAACATTATTGAGTAATCTTCACACAGAAACATGTTTCAACAACACTTACATGCTTCTCCAGGTTATTCTATTGTCATGCAAGTGATTGTGTTTGTCAAGGAGTGACAGACAGTGACCCAGTTGTTTGTTTCTTTGTTACTGAATCAGACAGTGTAGTCTAGTTATTCATAATATTAAGTCAGGTATCAGCTTGTTCCTACATTTGGATATTCTGTAGTCCTATATATAATTCTTGATGTGAATTGAAATGGGGTACAATTGATTCCGGCATTAAACAAATGTTTAACACATTTTTGCTGTCAGACCTTTTAATAAAAACCATTGAGTGATAAATCAAACTCACACAGATGAAAAGTGACAGAAGTAGCTTGGATCAAACACACATAGATCACAGTGATTACACAAACTGCATGCGATCACAAGCATACTGCAGAGTAACACAGCCAAGATTAAAATGCACACACTCACCCCATTTCCATCCAGTTTTTATGTGAGTGAAGTCATATCGTATATATAAAGACAACTGTGTTGGAAACAGGAAGTTTCGGTACAATCTTATAAATGCTGATATTTTGTCACTTTTTGGAGTCCAGAATCGTATCTTGCTAAAGGGGTTGTCCCTCCATTTCAGTTAAGTGTTCCTTTTGAGGTACTTATGGAGCCCAACCACTTTCTTGGTCCTCTCCTCCTCTAAGTGTTCCAGTATGACAAGGATGATGTTGGGGTTGCTCCTTGTTGGAGTAGATCGCAAAGGCACCGTAACTGTATTCTTGGCTTTGAGAGACCTTGTAGCCTCTCAGCAAAATGCAGCAGAATGACAGGTGGAATTGAAACTTGTAGGCCAAGGCTAACAGAACAAGTAATGAAACTACAACAAATGTGACCACAATTATTTTAACTCTTGAGTTGTAGAGACAGTGGAAATGGTATTGAAATCAATCACTTCCATTAGAGATGAATTAGACAATGTTTTACACTGAACAGAAATATAAACGCAACCTGTAAAGTGTTGGTCCCATGTTTCATGAGCTGAAATAAAAGATCCCAGAAATGTTCCATATGCACAGAAAGCTTAATTCTCTCAAATGTTGTGCACAAATTTGTTTACATCCCTGTTAGTGAGCATTTCCCCTTTGCCAAGATAATTCACCCACCTGACAAGTGTGGCATATCAAGAAGCTGATTAAACAGCATGATCATTACACAGGTGCACCTTGTGCTGGGGACAATAAAAGGCCACTAAAATGTGCAGATATTTCACACAACACAATGCCACAGATATCTCAAGTTTTGAGGGAGCGTGCAATTGGCATGATGACTGCAGGAATGTCCACCAGAGCTGTTGCCAGAGAATTGAATGTTCATTTCTTTATAATAATAATAATAATAATAAATAATAATATGCCATTTAGCAGACGCTTTTATCCAAAGCGACTTACAGTCATGCGTGCATACATTTTTTTGTGTATGGGTGGTCCCGGGGATCGAACCCACTATCTTGGCGTTACAAGCGCCGTGCTCTTTACCATAAGCCGCCTCCAAGGTCGTTTTAGAGAATTTGGCAGTACGTCCAACCGGCCTCACAACCGCAGACCTTGTGTAACCACACCAGCCCAGGACCTCCACATCCAGCTCTTTCACCTGCTGGATCGTCTGAGACCAGACACCTGGACAGCTGATGAAACTGAGGGTTTGCACAACCAATGAATTTCTGCACAAATTGTCAGAACCGTATCAGGGAAGCTCATCTGCGTGCTCGTCGTCCTCACCAGGGTCTTGACCTGACTGCAGTTCGGCGTCGTAACCAACTTCAGTGGGCAAATGCTCACCTTCGATGGCCACTGGCACGCTGGAGAACCGTGCTCTTCACGGATGAATCCTGGTTTCAACTGTATCGGGCAGATGGCATACAGTGTGTATCGCATTGTGTAGACGAGCGGTTTGCTGATGTCAACGTTGTGAACAGAGTGCCCCATGGTGGCAGTGGGGTTATGGTATGGGCAGGCATAGCTATAGACAACCAAAACAATTGCATTTTATCGATGGCAATTTGAATGCACAGAGATACTGTGACGAGGTCCTGAGGCTCATTGTCGTGCCATTCATCCGCCGCCATCACCTCATGTTTCAGCATGATAATGCACAGCCCCATGTCGCAAGGATCCTTGTTTGGGATGCTCTGGATCGACGTGTACGACAGCGTGTTCCAGTTCCCGCCAATATCCAGCAACTTCGCACAGCCATTGAAAAGGAGTGGGACAACATTCCACAGGCCACAACCAACAGCCTGATCAACTCTATGTGAAGAAGACGTGTTGCACAGCATGAGGCAAATGGTGGTCACACCAGAAACTGACTGGTTTTCTGATCCACGCCCCTACCTTTTTTGTTAAGGTATTTAGTTTAGGGCCTAATTTATTTATTTCAATTGAGTGATTTCCTTATATGAACTGTAACTCAGTAAAATATTTGAAATTGTTGCATGTTGCGTTTAAATCACATTTTTCTTTGTCACATGCTTCATAAACAACAGGTGTAGACTAACAGTGAAATGCTTACTCACGGGCCCTTCCCAACAATGCATAGAGAGAGAAAATAGATAAATAATAGAAAAGTAAAACACGTAATAATAGATACACAATGAGTAACAATAACTTGGCTATATACTGTACAAGGGGTACCAGTACCGAGTCGATGTGCAGGGGTACGAGGTAATTGAGGTAGATATGTACAGATACAGTAACTAGGAATAAAGTGTCAGACAATAAACAGTAGCAGCAGTGTATGTGATGAGTCAAAAAGGTTTGTGCAAAAAGGGTCAATGTAGATAGTTGAGGTAGCTACTGTACAGTATTTGGTTAACTATTTAACTAACTATTTAGCAGTCTTATGGCTTGGGGGTATAAGCTGTTCAGGGTCCTGTTGGTTCCAGACTTGGTGCATCAGTACCGCTTGCCGTGCGGTTGGTATTTCTCAGAACCACATGTTCATGTGAGAAAATGACCAGATAAATAAAACATAACTTTTATTTATCTACATTTGTTTAATTAAAGTTCAATCATTTTACAAGTATGCATAACATTGTAAGATCTGAATATCACTCATAAATCTATAATACAAATGAAGCAGGATTATATTAATTCATTGGTATGAGTACGGCACAATCAGCGATCCATGATATGCCATCCCTTTCTGCCCTGAAATATTCCTCTGTGGAAGACTTATATTTTACATTCTTAGTCATGTAGCACAGTGGGGGGTGGGGGAACTCAGTCCGGCTTTTAATTTACTCTTGAAAGTTGTAATAGTAGAATGCAAAGGTGCAATTGGGTAGTGCATCATCAGTTTTCCTCGTCATGTCAGTCATTGCATACTTTAGAGGGCTATTTACAACTTGTCAGAAATGTCCAGATCAACTAACCCATGTCAGCTAATGTTTTTTAGACAGGTTTTTTAGCCAATGCTGGAAGGGGGGCCTGTGTGAAAAAGTTTGGGTACCCCTGATTTAGCAGACACTCTTATCCAGAGTGACTTACAGGAGCAATTAGGGTTAAGTGCCTTAAGGGCACAGACAGATTTTTCACCTAGTTGGCTCAGGATTTGAACCAGCAATCTTTCGGTTACTGGTCCAATGTTCTTAACCGCTAGGCTACCTGCCGCCTTGACTTGAGTCTTAACTTGACATACAACATCTTATACTCATACAGTAGCAAAGCATTTACACTCAATTAGTGCCAAACAGATTGAGAAAACCATGTTAACATTTGTTACAAATTTCTCACACATCGTTCACCTTTTAAATCATCAAGTCATTTACCCAAATTGCAACATTTTTATAACACAAATTACTGTATATTCTCATTGGTAAACATAGATGCCGCATTCCTTTAACAAACTGATCACAGACATACCTACAGTGAATATGATGCTATGTCTCAATTCACTCTCTCCCTTTGCAGATCCACATCTTGTTTTGCTTTGTGCTCGATCACTCTTAAAAGCCTACTTTGTAGATATTAATAGACATTCCACTTTTTAAAAACATTGCATATCAACATGGAATATGCCAAACACCAAAAAGCATTCCACTAAGGGTATTTTAGTTGGCCACACAAGCTTATAAAATGACTGTTTTATTCTAAAGTCGATTAATCCAAACCTGAGATATGTTTGTGTTGCCGATGGCCACTCTTTGACTGGTAGAGACAGGCCCCAAGTACAGATCTAGGATCAGGTTTCCCCCATCCTGACCTAACCCTAACGTAGCAAAAACTACTTTGGATCAGCACTTATGGACAATGTTAATTTATCAGTGTGGACTAGGCTACATCCCTGGCTCTTGCACTCAACCAATAGTGCTGCTGAATATTTTCCTAGGAGTGTATGTGATGTGTATGTAGTACTCCACAAGTTAAACAATTATTTTCATGCAGTGAACACGGCATGCTTTGCAGTCCTCTGGCTTACAGTAGAATACTTAGGTAGGCTATCATACATTCTGATGTCTGTTATATTGAATATTTGGACACCCATGACAGAAGGTCATCATCATCATCATAATCTTCAAACTTCAAACAGTATGATAGTAGCAGTATTTCTCACAAAAGCAGTGATATATTTAGGCCTAGTCAATTTCAACATTGCAATTTGATATAGCCTTTCCTACATTAATTGACAATAAAGAACCACAAGTAAAAGTGCTTGTTAGCCTTACAGCACTACCTTCTGATTACATTTGGAGTAAGTTTCAGAATGACATATCGCTCTCAATAGAGTACCACAGTATGAGTCATAATACCCATAAAACCTAGCAGTCAAACAGGGAAATGGTTTCAATTGTCTTTCCACCATTAATTTTTCCCATAGGGGATTTTAGAAACACTTCAAATAAGGGCTGTGTTTTGTGTAAACTTACCATTGTGTGACCTTTTGATAACTGTGTAAATCTCTCTAGGACAAGGTGACTTTTATCAATCTATTCGCCTGTATTTACCACCCAAAATGAAATGCTAATTAGCTGCTAACGTGGCTATCATAACGAACTACAAATGCCATGATGATCTGGACGAGACTGCCGAATCGAGGCAAAGGTAAGAATCTCTGGATTAATTATCTAATGTTAGCTAAATGTAGTAATCAATAAATTGGCTACATTTCTTTAAATGGACAATTATTTGAACTGTCTTGTGCAAGTTTTAAATTGACACAATACCTGTTAGCAAAGGTGTCAGCTAGAGATGACATTCAGGAGCTTGCAGGGATTTGTAGTTTTGCATGATGTCTACTTTTATGCTAATTAGCATGTTCAAATCTGAGAGTAAACAGAGACGAATATATTGATAAAAGTCACCTTGTCCAAGAGAGATTTACATGGTTATCAAAACATCACGCCAGGGTAAGTCTACACGAAACACAGCCCTTATTTTAAGTGTTTTTAAAATCCCCTATAGGAAAAATGAATGGTGGAAAAACGATTGGAACATTTCCCTGTTTGACTGCTAGGTTTTATAGGTATTTTGACACCTCCACCGTGGGGCTCTATAAAAGGTGCAATATGCAGAAATCGCTCCGCCATTTCCTGGTTACAAAAATTCTAATAGTTCGCCTAATTTCAGTTTGTGACTAAACAAGCAATGTATAGTGTAGAAAATCATTTTTTCCATCTAAACCGCTGTGAAATATCCTCTCAATAACCAAAAATATTGTATGTTCAGCTGTTTGAAGCTGGTGTACAAAACCGAAAGTAAGACGCAAAAACTAAACTTAAGAACGGAAAGCATAGAAATAGCGCACAGAACAGATCTACCGCTTCTTAGACTTGCTTTCAAGTTACAGATTGCATGCAGCTTTAACAAAGGTAGGATTCCTGACAATTTATACACCATTCTCATTCAAAATGATAGGCTTGATATAATGGAACTCTCTCTACCGTTCCCATTTACAAATGTGCAAGTAGTTAAACATCCATGCTAGTCATGAGCACACTTTTCTCTTTCACAGCAACCACACATTACTTTGAGGTTACATGCATATCAGGCCAGTATGAAAAATAAAATAAAAATAATGTATGCACTCACTAACTGTAAGTCGCTCTGGATAAGAGCGTCTGCTAAATGACTAAAATGTCAAATGTAATGTATATGTTTGAATACATATTCAAAGTAGGGGGACAACTCAAGTTACTATAGAACCTAATAAACCAGTCAGTGATATGCATTCCTGGTCCTTGTAGGTGTTAGAATGATGCTCCCAATTTGCCTTAACAATGCAATCTGTAAAATGGCCTGATGGTTATTAGTAATTCAAACTAATGCAGCAGAAACAGACCTCTAGACAACCCCAAAATTAAGGATATTTTACTTAATTATATTGTTTATAACAAAATGGCATATAACGTCAAATGGAATGTCATTCCTTGACCACTACAAATTGTATCATAGAAATGAAGTGCTACTTGTATGTGCAAATCTCATGGAATGCACCTTGGAATATTGTTTGACAGGCCAACTCCTTGATTTAGGCTACAGGTTCTAATGATGTTCCTAATTATTAGTTTCCCCCCCACATAATATAATTCCATGAACACTATAGATATCTTACAGATTGCATATTTAACTGCTCATGCTACTTGAAGCAATGGCTGCATCCAAATACTTCTGATAGACTTCCTTTCCTTGATTGCTTTCCCTCACGATCAAAAACCTCATAACACTTGAAAATGATATTTACCAGTTAAGCTATGTGGCACAAAACTAGCTAAGCTATTAGACATATTTCTTTCACTGATCCAGTTCTTTCAAATCAGTCCTCACACATGTAAGGAGATAATGAGACATTGCCTTTGAGTATTGTGGTACAGCTAGTGAGCCAAGTGGTCTGATTTTGATTTTTAAAAGCTTGAAACCAGGAGATCTATAGTTAGGAGCAAGGCCTCCATTTCACCTGCCAGGACTCTAAATGTTCACTCCAGATAAACTGTAGTTAGCCACTATGAAGCTGAGCATTGAGAAACGCTCACTGAGTCTAGGAAGCCTTAAAGTGGCAATCAGCAGCTGAAACAATAAAGCGTTCTCCCCACCACTGTTTCAGTATAAAGTGGGGGGATGGGGCTGGAAAAATGTAACCACCCTCAAATTCAAAGACAGAGCTATGGATGCAAGGACTGACTATCCATGATATAAAAATTATAGTTTTAACCAGGTTTTTTTTATGCTATACAGTGTTTGTTTATAAACATTGGGGTAGAACAAGCTTATATTTTGGGTTCTGAGGGGGTACAACAGTTGAACTAAGCTCATGAGGCATTTATAAGTAATATTCTTCAAGAATCAATGGGTACATATCATTAAGTCCAGAAATGTATGTAGTAACTGCTGATTGCCCTTTTAATGCAAACAGAACACAGTGAGGGAGTTCAAGTCCTTTCATTTGGAGTTCAAGTCCTTTCATTTGTAGACACCGGAGCTCCCAACTGCCAATCAAACAGGCTGGAGATCCAGTTACTTCTGGATGAAGATGATGACAATGCACAGAGTCCCCACCAGCCCAAGAGCTTGGATGCCCAGGAACCACAGTAGGACCCAGAAAAAGATGATGATCACAGGATCCACAACCTTCTCCCCAAAGTACATCTGGGTGAAGCCCGCACTGCGCAGGCACTTGTTCAGCTGCCCGAACAGGGTCCCCATCCGCTCGCAGTCGTCCACCTGAGGTCTTGTCGTGGGGTCGTCAATGAGTGGCCACCTGGCCGTGGGGTCACCAGCTAGGCGTGGTCTGGTCCTTGGGTCGCCGGAGGGGTGTAACCTGGCTCTGGGGTCAGCGGCGGGTCGGGGCCTGGTTCCAGGGTCGCCAGAGGGGCGTGACCACCAAGTCCCAGGGTCACCGGGAGGGCCTTGCCACCTAGGTCCAGGTGGTCTGACTCTAGGGTCATCCTGAAAAGACAAGCATGGCGTTTAAATGACACCCCTATTCCCCATACAGTGTGCTGCACTACAATTATCCAGGGCCGCATAGGGATCTGGTCAAAATAAGTATACTACATGGAATGTACACATTTACATTACATTTTAGTCATTTAGCAGACGCTCTTATCCAGAGAGACTTACAGGAGCAATTAGGGTTAAGTGCCTTGCTCAAGGGCACATCGACAGATTTTTCACCTAGTCGGCTTGGGGATTAGAACCAGCGACCTTTCGGTTACTGGCACAACGCTCTTAACCACTAAGCTACCTGCCGCCCCACGATAGGATACCATACCTAGGATAGGCATGTGGTTGTGTCATAAGGCTGTGTGACATGCCATAAGGCTGTGTGAATGGGTCTCTCATTCCAACAACACATAACTTCTTATCAGCATTATACTGATACATGCTGGAGTCATAAGTCTGCCTGCCAGCCTTGAAATGTAACTGTTGGTTGTTCAAGTAGCTAGGTGAGAGAAACCTTGGCCAAAGTGCAATAAATGCACTAAATGTAGCTAGCTACAGTGCATTCGGAAAGTATTCAGACCCCTTGACTTTTTACAAATGTTGTTACGTTACAGCCTTATTCTAAAATGGATTAAATAAAATCTTTATCAATCTACACAAAATACCCCATTATGACAAAGCAAAAACAGGTTTTTAGAAATCTTTGCAAATTCATTCAAAATAAAAAACAGATACCTTATCGACATAAGTATTCAGACCCTTTGCTATGAGACTCGAAATTGAGCTCAGGTGCATCCTGTTTCCATCGATCATCCTTGAGATGTTTCTACAACTTGATTGAAGTCCACCTGTGGTAAATTCAATTGATTAGACATGATTTGGAAAGGCACACACCTGTCTATATAATGTCCCACAGTTGATAGTGCATGTCAGAGCAAAAACCAAGCCACGAGGTCCAAGGAATTGTCCGCAGAACTCCGAGACAGAATTGTGTCGAGGCACAGATCTGGGGAAGGGTAACAAAACATTTCTGCAGCATTGAAGGTCCGCAAAAACACAGTGGCCTCCATCCTTCTTAAATGGAAGAAGTTTGGAACCACCAAGACTCTTCCTAGAGCTGGATGCCCAGCCAAACTGAGCAATAGGGGGAGAAGGGCCTTGGTCAGGGAGGTGACCAAGAACCCAATGGTCATACAAACAGAGCTCCACAGTTCCTCTGTGTAGATGGGAGAACCTTCCAGAAAGACAACCACCTCTGCATCACTCCACCAATCAGGCCTTTATGGTAGAGTGGCCAGATGGAAGCCACTCCTCAGTAAAAAGGCACATGACAGCCCGCTTGGAATTTGCCAAAAGGCATCTAATGGACTCTCAGACCATGAGAAACAAGATTCTCTGGTCTGATGAAACCAAGATTGAATTCTTTGGCCTGAATGCAAAGCATCACGTCTGGAGGAAACCTGGCACCATCCCTACAGTGAAGCGTGGCGGCAGCACCATGTTGTGGGGATGTTTTTCAGCAGCAGGGACTGGGAGACTAGTACAGAGAGATCCTTGATGAAAACCTGCTCCAGAGTGCTCAGGACCTGGTTCACCTTCCAACAGGATAACGACCCTAAGCACACAGCCAAGACAACGCAGGAGTGGCTTCGGGACAAGTCTCTGAATGTCCTTGAGTGGCCCAGCCAGAGCCCGGACTTGAACCCAATCGAACATCTCTGGAGAGACCTGAAAATAGCTATGCAGGGATGCTCCCCATCCAACCTGACAGTGCTTGAGAGGATCTGCAGAGAAGAATGGGAGACTCTCCCCAAATACAGGTGTGCCAAGCTTGTAGCGTCATACCCAAGAAGACTCGAGGCTGTAATCGCTACCAAAGGTGCTTCAACAAAGTACTGAGTAAAGGGTCTGTATACTTATGTAAATGTAATATCAATTTTTGTTATTCATTTGCAACATTTAAAAAATATGTTTTGCTTTGTAATTATGGGGTATTGTGTGTAGACTGATAAGGGGGAAAAACAATTTAACCCATTTCAGAATAAGGCTGTAAAGTAACAATGTGGGAAAAGTCAAGGGGCCTGAATACTTTCCGAAATGCACTGTATGTCAAAGTTCCCTCCCTGATGCAAAGTGTTTTCAAGACAACTGGTAACTCCAAAAAAAAAAAAAAGGTCAAATCATGACGTCAGTGATCTTCAGGTCGGAGCTCAAAAGCTAAAAAGATGCCCGAGTTTCCGACTTGGATGACCTTTCAAAACGACTTTTCCCAGTTGGAGCTAGTTTTTTTCCAAGTTCCCAGTTGTCTTGAATGCACTGAAGTCGGAAGTCCGAGACTTCCGAGTTCCCAGTTGTTTTGAACCGGCATTAGCTGCCTCATCTAGCTTTGGGATACAACATCGGGAAATATAAACCTCTGAATCCAACTTTTGTCCGAAACACACCATATTCCTGCTATGTAAACAGTGGTAGATTTCGTGGTAGGAAGTTTCGCGTGGTCTAATGGCAGCCTGCTCTCTAATTTGGCGGAAATATGGTGATGACAAAAGTTAGATTCAGACGTTTATTTGATAGCGATGGACACATTTCACTTTACGTCTGGTAAGTAGAGTTCCTAGAGATTATACATATTCTCTTATTGACAGGAAAAAAAAAAAAATTTGGGTGAAGCCTGCTATATATCCGTCGCCACCCACCAGAACGATGCACAATCAAGAGTCCAACCAATACAGACTCGCGATGTTGTGTCTCAAAGCTACATGTCAGCATGATGTCAAGGGATTTGGCTTGCTAGCTAATTATCCAAGCAAATTAAAGTGAGCATGACCAATTGCCTAACCCTTTTAACACTGAAATGTATTCACTACGTGCCAGTTCGAAGTATAAAAAATAAAATAGTTACACAGCCACTTGATAAATATTGCATTGCTAGCAACATTAGCAAGTTCGATAACTGCACCTGCTGGATAGTATTGGCTAACGACGTTAGCTGGCTACCTGGAATGTTTGCCTTGGTGTGTAGTTGGGTGGATGATGAGCGTGAAACCTTCTTCGACTATCTAGCTCCTCAAACTCACGCGGATGCAGTACCGGCTGATCATTCACAGTTGGTGGTATGGTGGCCATGTTATTCACGCCGTTATAATGAGGTTTAGGAATGAGAACAAAACACCCAATACTGTCAATGACACTTCCGCCCCCGTTGTGTCACGTGTGTGAGAATCCAATCCAACGTCACGGTAAGGGGCGTATCTTCTTCTTCAATGAGGTTTAACGGCGGTTGGCATCCGATTTGTTGCAATACCGCCACCTACTAGACTGGAGTACAACTCCCTTATATTTTGCTTGAAAAATAAAAAAGGGGCGTGTCGACTTAAGCTGTTGGCGTCAAATAGCTGAAATTTCCATATCAAGTAACGTTTACATGCAATAATTCGATATTAAACTGATTATGGTAGAAGGCCGAGTATGGCATTAGTCATGTCAACACATTACTCTGCTTTTCTTAATCGGCTTAAGGTCATAATCGAAGTAACATACACCGATTAAAACACCTGGTTTTCTGAGTAATCTTTCGAATTATTAGAACATGTAGCTAGCTAAACAATTTAATGCGTTCCAGCGGTGTATTTGATCAGCGCATGTGCCAGCACAGGTAGCGTCATTGCTAGAAGAAATCCCGTTTAATTAATGTAAAAAGTTGATTTCTTTGCATTTTAGCTAACCCTAACTATTTTCTTAGCCTGAGTTTACTAAAATGCTACGTTAATTATCCTAAACTGCTGCGTAAATGATCCTAACCTGCTATGAAAAGTCAAATCTGACGTTAATTTGACAAAAGTTGGGTCCCTTCTAGCCATGACCCGCAAGCCGCCTCCTTATGCGCGAGTGAAGTGAGTTCAGAAAAATTGAAAGTATGCGTTTTAGAAATCGTTTTCACTTGCTGAGGCAGCATACAAACGTTATATGTCCGAACTCAGAATCAAATAGTCTTCGCAAAAATAGCATGGTCACTGTGGTAGAACGTTTATTTTGACTGGCGATTTTCTGCATTTATCAAAAGGCCCATCAATTAGCCTGATTTCAGATATGGCCATGTAAACAGGTTTATCAGGGCAATCGTTATTTTTTGCAAAACATGTAAACGTTTGTAAACTAACTATTATATTAATCTGACTATCCACAATAATCATAATGGTTCGGGCCCATTATTCCTCCTCCACCAAACTTTACAGTTGGCACTATGTATTCAGGCAGGTAGCGTTCTCCTGGCAGATTAGTCAGTTGGACTGCCAGATGGAGCGTGATTCATCACTCCAGCGAACGCGTTTCCACTGCTCCAGAGTCCAATGGCGGCGAGCTTAACATCACTCCAGCCGACGCTTGGCATTGCGCATGGTGATTTTATGTGTGCGGCTGCTCGGCCATGGAAACCTAGTTCATGAAGCTCCTGACAAACCATTATTGTGCTGACGTTGCTTCCAGAGGCAGTTTGGAACTCGGTAGTGAGTGTTGCCGCCAAGGACAGACGATTTTTATGCGCTTCAGCACTCGGCGGTCCCGTTCTATGAGCTTGTGTGGCCTATCACTTCGCGGCTGAGCCATTGTTGCTCTTAGACGTTTCCACCTCACAATAACAGCACTTACAGTTGACTGGGGCAGCTCTAGCAGGGCAAAAAATTTGACACACTTACTTGTTGGAAAGGTGGCATTATATGACGGTGCAACGTTGAAAGTCACTGAGCTCTTCAGTACGGGCCATTCTACTGCCAATGTTTTGTCTATGGAGATTGGTGTGGCTGAAATAGCCGAATCTACTCATTTGAAGGGGTGTCCACATAGTTTTGTTCATGTAGTGTACTTTTCAAGTGGTAAATGTGTGGGAATAAAGCTGATTGAATAAAATGAAATTAGTAACCAAACAAATACCGGACTATGCAAACAAACACACAGTTGCAGGACAGAAAAAAAAAAACATGACAAAGTTGTGTGTCAAAAATATCACAAAACATATGTAAAAAGCTATTTTTTTAAATACCATAAAATCATACTACCGGTAATAAAGGTTTTCCCAATGATCAGCAATGGATTACATGTCAGGTCAACCAACTGGCATAATGTTCGTTTTAGAACCTGTAGGTAGGGTAAAGTGATGTGATTTACAGTAGCAGTATGCTATATAATGAAGCACAGGATTAAGACCTGCTAGGAACCTGCGTAATCCCAACTAATCTGCCTCTGCTTCTCTCCACTTGATTTGAACGTAGGAGAGTTTGGGAGTGGCAGTCTGGGAATGTCAACTGGAATATGTAGCTAAACAGAGGTTTTGCTTACTCTGGCCTTGTTTGGTGACCAATGTATCTACTCCTCTTGGTCCAGGTGCTACAGTGTTGCTTCCTGGTGGTCAATTTCTGCCCTGCTTCTGTGTACTTGTGTCAACCAAGAAGGGATCAATGGGACAGGTCTCAGGTACCGTGCAGTTCAGTTAATTAAATTGCTTAATTTAGTGCCTTAATTTCAGTTGCTTGCTTGGGTGTGCTCCTTCTCTCATATCGATTAATCCTGAATTGATTTACCTAACATCTTGGATCACTGGTGTTGTTCTTTAAAATATACTGTATACAGCATTTTAATTCATAGTGCATCAAGTTGACTCTGGAATAGTTGGACAAAATTATAGAAATATGTTTGGTCAGAGATTGAGTAAAATGCTATTGTAATAAAAGGAAGTGGTAGACGTGATTTGCCATGCTTGTTTTCTGTGTAAACAGTTAACTCTTCAATTCCTTGAGTGTCCAAATAGGACTGAAAGACCTATTAGCTCTAATAGCTTCTTACTCTTCCCTGTGTATTATTCACATACGTTATTCATATATCACACTATTTGCGCTGACAGGTCTGTTTTGTGCAGCGGACCCCGCATGTCGGCCATCCAGTGGTGTAAAGTACTTAAGTAAAACTACTTTAAAGTACTACTTAAGTCGTTTTTGGGGGTATCTTTACTTTACTATTAATATTTTTGCCGACTTTGACCTTTACTTCACTACATTCCTAAAGAAAATGTACTTTTTACTCCATACATTTTCCCTGACACCCAAAAGGAGTCATTACATTTTGACAGGAAAATGGTCCAATTCACACACTTATCAAGAGAACATCCCTGGTCATCCCTACTGCCTCTGATCTGGTGGACTCACTAAACACAAATGCTTTGTTTGTAAATTATGTTTGAGTGTGCCCTGGCTATCCGTCAATAAAAAGAAAAAAAAGAAAATGATGCCGTCTGGTTTGCTTAATATAAGGAATTTGAAATGGTTTTTACTTTTAATACTTAAGTACATTTTAGCAATTCCATTTACTTTTGATACTTAAGTATATTTAAAACCAAACACTTTTAGACTTTTACTGAAGTAGTATTTTACTGGGTGACTTTCACTTTTACTTGAGTCATTTTCTATTAAGGCATCTTTACTTTTACTCAAGTATCACAATTGAGTACTATTTCCACCACTGCGGCCATCCCCCTCAAGGCTCCAGCAGACACAGTCAAGTTGCGTCTGGAGAAGACCTCTATCTCTAGTGTGCCCCGGGCAGCCTTCTTCTACCTGTCTGAACTCCAGTTCCTGTGGCTGACCTAAAACTCCATCACCACCATCCACCCCAGCAGCTTCCTTAAATTGAAGGTAGGAATGGGCATATTCCCTTCTGTATTTTTCATCTTCTCTATTTAAACTAATAGTACTAGTATAGTACTAGTATCTATTTTCCACATTTTGTTACGTTACAGCCTTATTCTAAAATGGATGAAAAAAAAAATTCCTCATCAATCTACACACAATACCCCATAATGACAAAGCGAAAACAGGTTTTTAGAAATTTTAGCAAACTTATTAAAAATTAAAAACAGAAATACCTTATTTACATAGGTATTCTGATGGTCACTCTGACAGAGCTCCTGAGTTCCTCTGGGAGATGGGAGAACCTTCCAGAAGGACAACCATCTCTGCAGCACTCCACCAATCAGGCCTTTATGGTAGAGTGGCCAGACGGAAGCCACTCCTCAGTAAAAGGCACATGACAGCCTGCTTGGAGTTTGCCAAAAGGCACCTAAAGACTCTGACCATGAGAAACAAGAATCTCTGGTCTGATGAAAACAAGATTGAACTCTTTGGCCTGAATGCCAAGCGTCACGTCTGGAGGAAACCTGGCACTATTCCTACGGTGAAGCATTGTGGTGGCAGGGGGGATGTTTTTCAGTGGCAGGGACTGGGAGACTAGTCAGGATTGAGGGAAAGATGAATGGAGAAAAGTACAGAGAGATCCTTGATGAAAACCTTCTCCAGAGCGCTCAGGACCTCAGACTGGGGCGAAGGTTCACCTTCCAACAGGACAACGACCCTAAGGACACAGCCAAGACAACGCAGGAGTGGCTTCGGAACAAGTCTCTGAATGTTCTTTAGTGGCCCAGCCAGAGCCCGGACTGAACCCGATCGAACATCTCTGGAGAGACCTGAAAATAGCTGTGCAGTGAAAGCTCCCCATCCAACCTGACAGAGCTTGAGAGGATCTGCAGACAAGAATGGGAGAAACTCTCCAAACACAGGTGTGCCAAGCTTGTAGCGTCATACCCAAGAAGACTCGAGGCTGTAATCGCTGCCAAAGGTGCTTCAACAAAGTACTGAGTAAAGGGTCTGAATACTTATGTAAATGTCATATTTCAGCTTTTAGTTTTTTATACATTTGCAAAAATTTATAAAAACCTGTGAGGGGGAAAAACCAATTCAGCCAATTTTAGAACAAGGCTGTAACGTAACAAAATGTGGAAAAAGTCAAGGGGTCTGAATACTTTCCGAATGCACTGTATGTTTTGATTTTAATAAATTCTAAGGCTGCATGATGCAACTCTAATGATGATTTTAAGAAAGTCGCATGAAATGCATGAGCTCTGCTTTGTTTTTTTGCGCATGCTGTACACACTTCATCAGTCTCTCATTCACAATTTGACAAGCACTTGATAATGCCTCAAATTTCCCAGCTGCATCCCCTTTGTGTGGCCGTAATGCCCCCTAAAAAATATCCATGCCTTTTGCGGCCAGTGGCCGTTGTGCCCTTGGGCTGAATATAAT